GCACCTGAGGTCCCTTCGTGCTATTTACATTCCAAGAGAGCGGAACCTGGCAGCCAACGAGCTGTCACGGATCCGGACTGTCTCCGGCGAATGGCGACTCCATCCCCGGTCGGTCAAGCTGATTTGGGACCAGTTCGGGGAGACACAGATAGATCTGTTTGCTTCCCCCGACTCATCCCATTGCGCCCTGTATTATTCTCTGACCGAGGGCACCCTCGGCACAAATGCATTGGCGCACAGCTGGCCACGGGGTCTACGCAAATATGCGTTTCCCCCAGTGAGCCTTCTTGCATGGACTCTGTGCAAGATCAAGTGGAACCTCTTGAAGTGGAACCTCATCGTTGACTGGTGCTCTTCTCGCCGAGAAGACCCCCGGAGATGCTCGGTCAGTGTCGTGCTTTCCCTTCTGCAAGAAGGGTTGGAGCGAAGGCTGTCTCCCTCCACCCTTAAAGTTTATGTGGCTGCAATTGCCGCATTCCATGAAGCAGTCGAAGGTAAGTCATTGGGGAAACACAACCTGATCATCAGGCATCTGAGGGGAGCAAGGAGACTAAATCCTCCTCGCCCTCCTCTCGTACCCTCTTGGGACCTCTCAGTGGTTTTAAATGCCCTGCAGAGGCCTCCCTTCGAGCCTCTGCAATCAGTGGAGATTAAGTTCCTGTCGATGAAGACAGCGCTCTTGGTTGCACTGGTCTCCATCAAGAGGGTAGGGACCTGCACGAATTCTCCGTTGACGAAGTGTGCCTGGAGTTCGGGCCGGCTTACTCTCACGTGATCCTGAGACCCCGGCCTGGATATGTGCCCAAGGTTCCTACCACTCCCTTCCCGGACCAGGTGGTGAACCTGCAAGCGCTGCCCCTGGAGGAGGCAGACCCAGCCTTGGTACTGCTCTGTCCAGTACGTGCACTCCGTGCTGACGTAGACAGAACGCGGTGTTTCAGGACCTCAGACCAGCTCTTTGTCTGTTATGGTGGAAGCCAGTAGGGAAGGGCTCACTCAAAGAAGCGGCTGTCTCACTGGTTAGTGGACACCATTTCTTTGGCGTACCAGCAGCAAGGTCGACCGTGCCCCCTAGGTGTGATGGCCCACTCCACTCGGAGTGTGGCTTCCTCTTGGGCTCTATCGCATGGCGCCTCGCTATCAGACATCTGCAAAGCTGCAGGCTGGTTGACACCGAATATATTTGCAAGATTCTATAATCTTCGAGTGGAGCCTGTGTCCTCTTGTGTACTCGCTTCCACCAGTACTGGACCCGCTCAGATGTCTTCGTTTGCTCGCCATTCCACTCCTCGGACTGGATAAGTGCGATATTTCCTCAGCTGAGTCTTCCATTGAAGCCCTGAGTCCTCCAGCACTGCTGATGCTGGCGCCAGTGTCTTTGCTCTGGACGTCGGCTAGGTGCCTCCGTGTGTATGGTTCCCTCCGGTAACTGTCACATGTGTATTCTCCACTGTAAGCCTCTATGAGCATGTGTCTTCCCTCGGCAAGCCATCGTGCCACTCCTGGAGTTAAGTTTCAAAGCCACCCCTAGGTTGGTGTTTCCAGTGTTCCCCCATATGTATTCCCCTTGGGCCATATTTGTATTCTTAAGTCCTCCCTGCGGGTAGGCGAACTGTGGCATATTCCCTTATATGCTCCCCAGTGTACCTTGGTATTCCTGTGTTGAAGTAGGACTCCTTGTCCGTAAGTAAGTTGACAGGAGTTCAGACTTTCGCAGGGCACTGGAAGACAGCTGTGAAGATGGCGTGATGGCACTGACCCCCATTCTCCGTCATCCGACTTAACTCGGAGTGACTACGAAAGGGAACGTCTCGGTTACGGATGTAACCCTCGTTCCCTGAGTAGGGAACGGAGACGTTACGTCTCCCTGCCACTTTCGCTGTACCACTGGGTAGGTTTGCCGTAGTGAGGAAAATTTCCCACCGGTTAATCGACGTGTGACAACAACGGTAATTTCGGTTTCACCGTGGAGGGGGGGTTAAATAGCTTTTAAATGCGTGCGCGTTATACTTTCACTTTCGAAATAAGCGTCAATTGGCAATTCAGCGTCAATTGCTTGAATGGGCAAAAAAAACCAACTCGCTGATAATAAAACTTTTATTTATAGACAGGACTTTTATTAGCATAACGAACGAATAAAATATAGACAGAACTTTTATTATCATAACGAACGCATAAAAATAACCTCATGCATTGGCTGAAAAAAGTTAAAATCGGCAAACTGTGGGCCCAAACAAATAAGAACCATAAAACGTTTATTAACGAATAAGAAAATAAAATAGGCCTAAATAAATTACACAAAGTTTAAATAAGGTAAAACCCATTAAAAAGAGATGAATATAAAATAAAAACTTCAAAAAGGACCTTAGCCTACATAAATGACATACTTTCACTTTCGAAAAATAAGCGTCAATTGCAATTCAGCGTCAATTGCTGGAATGGACAAAAAAAAACAACTCGCTGACAATAAACTTTTATTTATAGACAGAACTTTTATTAGCATAACAAACGAATAAAATATAGACAGAACTTTTATTAGCATAATGAACGAATAAAAACAACCCCATGCATAGGCTGAAAAAAGTGAAAATCGGCAAACTGTGGGCCCAAACAAAGAAGAACCATAAAACGTTTATTAACGAATAAGAAAACAAAATAGGCCTAAATAAATTACACAAAGTTTAAATAAGATAAAACCAAATAAAAAGAGACGAATATAAAATAAAAACTTCAAAAAGGACCTTAGCCTACATAAATGACAGCAGTCAAAAAAAAGTAAAACACTATAAATTGGCATTTATTAACATCGCTTCCAGTCTAGAGTCAAAGAACATGACAGTTGAGACAAAGACCAACTTCATGACAAAGACAGTTTTGTCAGAGTCTACATGTTCTTTGCCAGAAAACCGAGCATGTTGACCATCTCTGGCTTAAGATGAGATCTTTTGGGGGTGACTATGTTCTCCATCGTGCTGAACACCCTCTCGGATGCACAGCTTGTTGCACACACGCAAAGATGGCTCTTGGCATGCACTGCGCAGTTTATTTTTAATTATAATGTATGCTCTCTTCTGAACTAAATAATTAAAAATGATTATTTTTAATTAATTCAAATATTATATATAATTCTAACTATTTTAGCAAAAACGAATACTTTAAAAAAAAGTCAAGACATCGCGGTGTCACGGTGGGAAAGTGATGTCACCGGTGATGGGCTTAAAACCGGTAACACCATCAACACCGTCTATCGCGGCAAGCCTACCGCTGGGTAGACGCCTGAGTTCAGTCTCGGCTCCTCAGCGAAGACATACTGCGGTTGCGTCTGCTTCCTCCTTTTATACCCACCAGGTGGGGTGGAGATACGCTATGCAAATTCTGCAGACCCAAGGCATTTTCGTGCCATTGGCTCGTTTTTTAATACTCGAAGAGGATTGCTTTCTATGCGAAACCCCCATTCTCCGTCATCCGACGTAACGTCTCCGTTCCCTACTCAGGGAACGAGGGTTACATCCGTAACCGAGAAGTTTTTGTTAATGAACATAAATTTAACATTAGCTTAGTATTAACTTGAGTTAGGATGCAGATTTACTGTCAACTCACTGTCAAATATGCATTTCGAGACAAAACATGTAATTTGAATATTGCAGCCTGCACTGCAAACTGCTGAAGAAATATTTTTCTATTCAGATATTTATTTGAAGGAAAAATGAAATGTTTGAATGTTCTACCTCATATTTGTGAAATGTTCTCGTGTTTGGCAAGTGTTTGTCATGATATGTTCTGACAATAAAGAGTAGTTTAAAACCAGAATTATTGCTCTGGTTTATACAACTTTCACTTAGGAGTAAAAATATGCCTTTAAACTTGAAAGAATTAAAGATTTGACATTTATCGTGATAATTATCGATATCGACTGATATAAAAAAAAATTATCGTGATAATTTTTTTGGGCCATATCGCCCAGCCATAGGTGTGGCTTTGGAGAAGCTCTGAAATGAGGGTGGTTATCTCATGTTTTCAAAGCTAGCTTACTATTGTTTAACCTTTCCAAAATTGCCTACCCTACCTTTAACAGTTTACTTATACCAGCGTTTTGTTGTGCATTGTGTTGGCACAGTGATTATCACAAAGTTACCTGAATTTTGATTCTGCAAACAATGTTTTGAGCTGAAAACTCACAGTTATGTAGTCAAGTAACTGTATTGAATGAACTTAAGATGAGCATGTTTCACACGACATGTTCCTACTTTTATTCCTTTCCATTTATTAATTTAGCAGGTGCTTATAGCTTATATCTGCTTGGCAAACAGACAATGTCCTGAGAACAGATGGTTCTTATCTCTACAAGACACACATGGCCAGTGATTTTTAAAACATTTGTTTTTGCACAGATGTTGATTGCCAGGTGAGTTGGTGGTGGTCCTTCACTCTTTTCCAGGACACATCAGGATGCATTAGTGTTTTCACCTGAACCTTTTGACCCCATTTACATCTGAATTTAGTGCTGTCTACTAATGCTGGGATTGCCTGAAACAGAAATTAATATCAGATGCAAACAGGATTTTAGAGAGAGGGCCCTTTCACACTTACCTTGTTTGGTCCGAATCAAAATTAAAGGTGTGAACCTACCCCGGACCACAGTCCGGACTAAACAGATGAAATTTGGTCAGACGAAAAGAGGTTGTCTCAGTCCGGATCAAACTGAACAAAGGTTTGGTTCTTTTCTTCTGTGTTAGTGTTTCTGTATGGTTCGGACTTTCAGACCTTTTACAGGAAGTTCCGGTGGTTCCCGCATAGCCGAAAAACAGGACGCAAGTATGTCAACGTAATGTTCTTTAGTGCTCGCTCGCATAATTGCAGTGTAAAACCAAACCAAAACTTTCCGAAAGTATAAAATGTATCAAAACGTGAACTTTGGTTCAGACCTTGTTGTGGACTTTCAGGTGTGAAAACGCCCTTAGTTTGGATATCACATAATGGTGGCTTTCTCTCCTCCTCAGTGTTTTGAGCTCCAGGGTTTTGTTCGGCCTTTGCTGGAGCTTCTAAATGGACTGAAGAAAGGAAGATTTGACAAAGGTGAGATAAAAGCACACTGTCTCTGTGTCCAGTCTTAAACATCTCTTTATTTGAAGTTATACCATTGTAATGGCCCTGTAATAATCTGTGTAGTTTAGAGTGTATCAGCCTTTTTTATGTGTGTTGTAATTTATCTGCATCTGTTCTCGTTTTCTGACTCTTCTGCCGTCCACTGCTTTTTTAAACTTAAAACCAAAAGTCAATTTACTTTCTGTTTTCAGATTTTGCACATTTCATTACATAAACCTGTGCAGGAAGTGATTTAATCTGACACTTTCTGATTTCATCAACATGTTTACTGCTTGTGATTGGCAGGTCTGAGCAGTTTTCAGCAGAGTGTTGCAATGGACAGAATTCAGAGGATTGTGGGAGTGCTGCAGAAACCACATATTGGGTGAGAGAGTTAGTTGAATTGAATTGAATTGAGTTATGTATAATCTCACCTTTTTGTTTGCAAGTATTCATGACATTATTAGAGACTCCATTTTCTGAGCAAAGTCTTGTTATGTGTAGACAACAGGACATACTAAGGACATTGACTAAACTTCTTGACCAAATCTGCAGGAGGTGCTATAAAAAGCCATACTAACTACAGAAATAAAATAAACAATAATGGAAAACAGCAGACAGAAATTAAGAAGTAATTTAATTTGTAAATAGACATCTGTGGAAATATTTGCAGGTTAACTACTTCCTTTTTATAAGAGTTTAATATAGTTCAGCAATGACACATTGATAAAAAGTGACAGTGAAGACTTAAAGGTTCTATATGTAACTTTTTTTTATAAAATGAATCCTTTTTTTATTGCCTGTGTTTGAAGGAGTTGTAATCACACATTGCAATGATCCACTTTTCAGGTTTTGCTATTACCTCTGAAAGCCAATATTCATATTTATAAGTGAGGTCTCCGGGTCGGATTTCCTGCGAAATCCATCAGATGTGATGTGCATGCGCGCCCCCGAGCCTCTCTATAGTATCCAGTCAACCATGTCTCTATCCAGTCTCTATACAATCAACCATGCGAACAACGGCACTTCATGGAGTCTGATAACAGCCCAAAACGTCCTGCCTCCAGCACAACACAGACTCCAACACAAACTCCACATAAATATAAAAAACAAAAAAGTTTTATCTGCCCAAGCTCGTCAGGCAAAACGTGAATCTGATCGACTCCGGACGAAAACGCGGATCAACATAGTAAACTCTAGTGAAATAGCAAGGTAAACTACATGAAACATGACATGAATACAAAAGAATGTTCCAGGATTCCAACAAAAAGTCGGTGCTTTAGGATGTAACTTATTTTATTTACTAGATCTACTAACTAACAACACTCATCCCACTACTATCATATTGTTTATAATACACATTTCCAGACATGTTCAGTACAGTAATGTTACTTCCTAGCCTAGAAATCTAGATGCACCCTAGCGGCAGCAAAAATTATTTTGCAGCAAAGTGTGGTCTAGCAACTCTCCATAGACATTTGAGCTGGAAAACCCCAACTCTGGTAGGGCCAATCACATCGTGTATAGAGTCGGAGGGCGGGCTTAACATAATGATGCTCGGACATATTCGGTTTGAAGTTGTTCATCCTCGGATGCGGCTGGCACCGCACGCGCTGTTACAAAAAAGTTGTGGCGAAATGATCAACTTGTCATATTTGCCACGCTCGTGCTGTCAAGTCAAGTATAAAGGCTTTACTCCGTGTCAGCGCGCGCTCTGATAGGTATAGGTGCACGGACCTCTCCCGAATCATCTCCACCACCCCGAAGCACCACTACTCCGGCTCTGTTTCCCTCGTAAGCTGATATTAGTATTTAAACATTCTCTATGATAATATTTTTAATGACACACAGTCTCTCTCATAAACACACAAACACACACATACTGTCTCTTTCTCTCACACACATATGTTGGCTAGTTATAAACTCTCTAGACTTTTAATGATTAGTGTTTTATTTTTAAAGTTTGTGGGTAGTGTAAAAAAAAATCCCTTATTTTGGGGATGGATTCCGGGAAATCTCCCTTATTTTCAATGTTCAATGTTGACAGCTGGACTGGATACGGTAAAAGTTTATCAACTTGCTCCGCTGAGTACGTCACCGTCTTTGTTGCTCTGATTGGCTTTAGCGCTATCCAATTGCGTGCAGAGAGAATTTGAAAGAGAACCGTTTATCCTGCCCCTCGGATTGAGCCCTGTCAATGAAGAGTTTCCAGACCTAACATCTTGATGTAGGTCTGGCATGCCAGGCTAGTTACTTCCTATATCTTACTGATACACTGAAACTGTTCAGCTTAGTTCACTAACCGTTTTCGTTATCATATTATACATTCACCTGTGTTGACATTGCTGATTGTGAAAGATACATGAAAATAGTTAGTGAAATGGCTTATAACATCACATGTCGGCTAAATTCAGTTTATTGTAACATTATCATGGTACGAGCACAGAGCATTAGTTCAACGTCAAGCTGATAAAAGTAGGCTATTATTGTACCTGCAGTGGGAGTTTACATTAGTTTCCAGCATGTTGTGTGAGGATTTCGCCGTCGCGTTGAAAGTCTCCGTGTGGTCGGTAGTGACTGCTCGCTCTTGAGATCTTGCACGCACACGCACACGAGCACAAGCGCTCTTGTTGCATTTTGAAACATCACCGCAAGAGGCCACTAAAAATCGCATACAGCACCTTTAAACATTGTTACCAAAACATCTATTTAAAATAAATTTAGTTCTTTTAGTGACTTCCTTGTCATTAAGGAATCATAAAAAAAATTATCAGTTTCCATAAAAATATAAAAAAAATGTTTTCAACATACATAATACATTCTTGAGAACCAAATCAGAATATTAGAATGATTTCTGAAAGATATGTGACACTGAAGACTGAAGTATGGCTGCTGAAAATTCAACTTTCACAGGAATAAATTACATTTAACAAACAGTTATTTTAAATTGTTAGAATATTTCACATGATGATTTTATTGTAGTGTAGTTTTTTTTTTTTTTTTTTTTTTTTAAATTCTTTATTTATATTCAGCAAGAAATAATTACAGAATAAAAGTGATGATGAAGAACTTTACATTTGCTGTTGTTTTTTTAGAACATTACATATATATACTTTGAACAAATAGGGAGAGATAAAGTTGTGCATTACAAAGTATACAAATTATATATTTAACCACTTTGTGGGAGCCATGATAGAGGAGGATAGATAAGAAGACAGGACAATAAAGCATCGGATCATTAAATCAACACCTCTACGAAGTCTGGTCTTAAGGGCTTTACAAATTTAACCCATTTAGCCCACCAACTAACAAATATACTTTTCTTAAGACGAATGGAAAAGGTAATTGATTCCATTACATATATCTTGTTAACAATGTCTATCCATTCTGAGACTGTGGGAGGTCCGGGAAGCAGCCAACGCCTTGTAAATGCTTTTTTGCAGGCAGATATAAGAACAGCATATAAATACTTATCAGCAGTTCTGAGCAAGAACTCACAATTCCCCAAAAAACAGAGAGGAAAACTGAAATGGTACTTTATTGTTGAATATAGTAGTTAAGATCTTGTGAAACTCTGCCCAAAACGGTTTGATTTTTTGGCAATCCCAAAAAACATGCCAGTGATCAGCCTCCCGAGCGCCGCACAGCCTCCAGCATTTAGCACCACCTGGATCAAAATGTGCTTTTTGCTTTGGTGTTATAAAAAAACGAATAAGACATTTCCAGTTAAACTCACGCCATATATGTGAGTTTGTACATTTCCATTGAAGCTCGCATATTTTTAACCACTCATCTGTAGATATTGATACATTGCTTTCCTTTTCCCATCTTTCTTTTATGTAGTCTGTGGAATGGGTATTTTTCACCAAGAGACCTTTATAAAACTTAGAAATAACCCCTTTAACAGTAGCATTTTTATATGCACTCAATATTGTTTTTAATATAGGGTCATTAAGGTCTGTTTTAGGTTTAATATTATATTCAAAGTGATTGCGTACTTGCAGGTATCGGAAAAAATCTGAATTTTCAAGATGGTACTCCTTTTTCAAATCCTCAAAATCCCTTAATTTTCCATTTTCTGTGAGTGAATAAAAAGTTGTTATACCTTTGAGAATCCATGATTTAAAACGGTTATCCATCAAATTTGGCCTGAACCCAGGGTCAAAAGCACACCATTGAATTATCTGTATTTTATCATTTAACTGATACTCTCCTTTTACTTTGTTCCAAATTTTTAATTGGGTTTTGATCCACGGATTTTGCGTATCCTTTATAAGCCTATCTAGGTTCGTACAAGCCAATAAAGCGTGAATCGGGGGGTCCATCATGATTGAAAGTTCAATATCTTTCCACCTGGCATGAAAATTTGGGGAACATAGGTTAATGAAGGGTTTAATTTGGGCCGCGTAGTAATATCCTTTAAAATAAGGTAACCCCATTCCCCCCTCCTCCTTCAAGAGCTGCAATGTTTTAAATTTAACCCTAGGTTTCTTCCCTTGCCAAACAAACCGGGAAATGATTTAATCTATTTCTGAAAATTCTTTTAAAGAGATTTCTACTGGAAGGGCTTGGAATAAAAAAAGATATCGTGGAAGAATATTCATTTTCACACAATCAATTCTATGACTCAGACTAAGAAAGGAAACAGAATTCCACCTTTTGATATCTTCTCTAATTTTTATCCGGAGGGGGCCATAGTTTATCTCTGCAAGCCGTGAAACATTACTTGGTAAATGTATACCTAAATATTTCAATGAACTATTATCCCAGCTTAGCTGGAATTTGTCAGTAAGACAAGTTGGAGGGGAGTAATTAAAAGCCAACAATTGAGTCTTTTGTAAATTCAGTTTATAACCAGAATAATTACCAAATTTCTGTAAGAGATTCATTAAATTTGGAAATGTATTAGAAGGGTCACTTAAATATATCAAAATATCGTCTACATATAAGGCTACCTTATGATCTTCCCCTTTTATATTAACTCCCCTGATACTTTCTGTCTGTCTCAGCCATTGTGCAAGGGGTTCGATATAAAGAGCGAAGAGTAAAGGGGAAATGGGACACCCTTGTCGCGAACCCCGATGTAATGTAATAGTGTTTGAAAGATTACCATTAATTTTTATTTGAGCAGAAGGTTTGTCATAAAGAGTCCGTATGACATTAGAAAAATTTGGGTGAAAGCCAAATCGTTCCAGAACTTTGTATAGGAAAGCCCAACTGACTGAATCAAAGGCTTTTTCCGCATCGAGGCTTACCAAAAGGGCTGTTAAATTATTCTGTTCTATGTGGTCCATGATATGCAATGAGCGTTTAATATTGTCCTGCGTCTGTCTTTGTAAAATATAGCCAGCTTGATCAGCATGTACAAGCTGAGGTAGTATTTTT